GATTGCTTTTCCTGGGTGTGCTCTTTCTGGAGAGCTTAAATGACCTCTCTGCTTAAGGTTTCACTTTATGAACAGGAGTTGGCTGCTGATAGTTATCACTGCATTTTAACTATTTTAATTCCTCAAGGTGCTCTGGCAGCCTGCCTGATTTGTTACTCCGGCTTGTAGGTATTTTTAATCTAATGTTTGGTATTTAGGCCAGCTTTTTGCAAGTAAAGAAGCTTTTTGTATTTTTGTACAGGTAATCCTTGACTTACAACAGTTATTCAGTGACCATTCAAAGTTACAATGGCACTAAAAAAAAGTGACTTATGACTGTTTTTCACATTTATGACCTTTGCAGCATCCCCACAGTCACGAGAGGCCAGGCGAGGAGAAGCGTCCCTCGACGTGAGTGATGTCAATTTGGCCATGCCCACCCAGTCACATGACCATTTAGCCACACCCACCCAGTCACATGGTCACCAAGCCATGCCCACCAAGCCCGCAGAACTGAATTTGAATCCCATCTCTGGAACCTGCCCATTATGGTTGTAAATCATGGTGGTCATAAAGCAGGTCACCCAGCTGATTTTATCTTTTTTGCTGTGGTTGATAAGAAACACCACAGTTGCCATGGTCATTAAGAGAATCCATTTTTTGCTCTGTGGTGATTTGCCTAAAACAAGAAGTAAACATTAGTTTTCAGCAAAAACATCATAAATCACGGGCACATCACGGATCCTGCAAATGGTTGTAAATGCGGGCTGGTTGGTGATTGCCTGAAATGTGATCACATGATCAGGAGAGAGCAACCATCAGAACTGGATGCTAAGCACCTGTTCAGGGGTCCCTTGTAACATTGAACTGTCACTAAGTGACTGATTTGTAAGTCGAGGACTACCTGTATTGGATAGGTGAATCCTAATGATTTAGCTGTTGTCCATTTCTGCTAATTGATATTTTTATTCAGCTACAACAGAGAACTTTCATCTAATTAATGGGCACATATAGGTTTGAGAGGTATTGGAGAGTATATGTCATAGTGGACATAGTCATATAAAATTAAAAATTAAATATAAATAATACACTCAAACCCAGCTATAAAGTAATGCACACATCTAATTCAAAAACTACTCATGCACTCATATGTCCAAACATACATATACTGATAGAATCATACTATATTAAATAAAATCATTTTCTTTTAATAATTTACTTACTATTCTCCAACACACACATACACATACACACCATTAAGTTGTAAAAACTAGAATGTACTGTATCAACCCAAAAGAAGATGACCCTGAAGTTAAGAGTCTTTCCTCAAAAAGAAAATATAGACAGATAATATTCTTTTTTATCATAACTAGTTTACCCATCTTGTCCTCCCAGGTAAAACTATCCTGGAGATTTTCTTCCTCATAAAAATGTATATAGTACATGTGCTGTACACGTGCTTATATGTATTTATGCCTATTAGAGGACACAATCCCCAAAGGCAGAGCTGTAACAAAAATGAATAAATATAAATTGTATTAATAACTATTGATTAAAATTCATTGTCCATAAAATAAGGTTCTCCAATTATATCCAATAAAATCACTAGGAAAAAAAAGTGTTATGGCAAAATATGGTACTTTATTCTCCATTTATAATTCATTCCAAGCCCAGTAGAGGGAGCTAAATCAGCACAGAGGAGTGGATATTCAGATGTTCTCAGGTCTGAAAATAGTTTTTGTTTTTTTAAAAGGTTGGAAAGGGGCAAGCCAGAGAAAGAAAGCAAAGGAACAATATTGATGATCAAGGCTGAAAAACAGCAACTGAGAATAAGCTAAAACGGGTTTAGTTTCAGGAGGAAATGCAAAAAGGAGACAGTTGAGGAAGAGGAAGCTATGCTGAGTTTTGGGAACAAAAAGAAGACAGGAAGAGACAGATTGATGTTGCAAAATAGAGAAGAGAAGAGCAGTAATTCAGATCAGTCCTCAGGGAAGACCTATTAAAAGACAGACCAGAAAAGTAAAACAGCAGTTGTCTCCTATATCAAAACTCAAGCCACTCAAATATGTTATTAATAACTTACAATTTATATTGAACAACAGCACTGTACTTTCTCAGGGCTGGGCCTGGGTGGTAGCCCCAAACTTGCATACATTCAATCATCTTACATGAAGTGGATTCTCCCAGACAGTCTGAAGAAACATGAAAATAATGGTAACATGGGAATTAGAGCTTGCAGCAAAACAGATGTCTATTACTAGCACCATCTTTTTGTACCAACGTTTGTACCAACAGTACCATTACAAGTCCCAACAATTTTGCACACAAGATATGTCTTCACATGTTGTTTCTCTAATTGATCTATTCCATTTTCTGCTAGAAATGCCCCTCTGGGGTCTATGTAGGACAGGCAGGCCACAGTTTGCACAAAATAATTAATGGACGCAAGTTTGACATCAGAACTCATAAAAAGGACAAAGTAAAAGTGGAACACTTTAATCCTTCAGGACACTCCATTGCAAATTTCAAAATTCTGGAACAAATAAACATCTTCAGCACAATTGAGTAAGAGAGTGGTGGATTCTCATAGTGTACCTCAAAAGGGTTCATACTATCTGAGAAGGTATTAACAAACACAGTGGGATTTTAACACATTAAAATTAGTATTTGATATGATACTTGTAATTTGCCACACATGTACATTAATCTATATTGCATAACTATCCTGTCTTCCCTCACTTTTCTCCCCATCTCAGTTTAAATCCTACTTTATTTTAGCCATTCTGTGCTATCTGAGTGAGCTGTAGTTCATGAAAGCTTGTGCCTTTTAATGAAATGTATTACTCAGAAAATGTAGCTCTTTCGATACTGTGCTGTCATATCAATTTTTTCCTGTTGCTGAATGTTATTAGGAAGTTACAAAGGAACAGAAATGCAGGATAGAAATGACAGAGAAAGAAAGTGATGTAATGTGAAGTATTGTAGAGTGCAGTTAAAAATACAGTGGAAAGTGGGAGTAAGAGGCAAGGGAAGGCTGTGGAAAGGCAGGGAGTCATTGTAGAATGTACTCAACCTGTTGGTCTACATGCAGCTGGAGGCTGTAATTGTTGCATTTGTGGGCAAAATGCAGTCTTCTAAAACTTCAGTTCTGTTACTGCGCATACTTTATCATCATGGCAGAGATTTGCTAAAGAAGGAATTTCAACAGCCCCATTTCTTTTATATTAATTTAGCTATGAGCTAAAAACCACTTTGCTTTAGGCAGCAAGTCCTTGGATAGTTGAGGAGCTGGAAGGCATAACTCTTCTGAGACTGTCCAAGCTGTCACTGTCTCTTGCTTTGGTTTGGCTCTATTTTCAGTCTCTCTTTCATTCAGCACCTTTAGCAGGCATCCAATTAGAGAGAATTCCCACTGTGTGGGTTGCTCCAAACACTACCCTTGTCAAAAGTCCACGCTAACCCTTGCCCTACTACAGATGGACCAGTCCTGCTTCCATCAAGGTCAGAGGAATCTGCAGAGGAGGAGGAGGAGAAGAAATGTGAAGGAGGAGGTGTGGCTGGTGCATTTGGAACTGTGGGGGAGGGGGCGTTTGAAAAAGACCTGGACATGGGTACTAGACTTCATAGGACAGGCACTTTTCCTGCTCTTGAATGTTAATTTCAGACAAGGCAGCACTTAAACAACAAAATGGCTTGGCGCAAAAGCAGTTACAGACAAAATTTGAAATAGGCTTTGCAATCCTAAGATACCATCCTTAGTTAAGATAGTGTGTAAATGATTTATTCATTATTTATTAATCACACTGGTAGGCCACCCACAAAGCAATCTGCAGGAATGTACAGGTTGAAAATATTTTTAAAATTAACAATCAAAACTTCAGCTGAGCCTGCCCGTTCCCTAGCCATCTAACTAACATCTAACTGGAACACCAAACTATTTAAGAGCTTATTGAAAATAGGCACATTGTGATTGAGGAAGATTTCATTGCACTAGAAGGTAACGGAGCCTATGTTTCTATGAATACATCATCATTATTATTAGTATTATTATTAGTAGTATTATTAGTATTATATATATAGTATTATATAGTATTAGTATTATTAGTATGATTATGATTATGATGATGATTATTATTATTATCATCATCATCATCATCATCATTATTAGTTTTATTGTCAGTACAACATGTGTACATGTCTTTATACAAGATAAATAAAGATTATTGTTCCAGTCAAACATCCAACTATTTTTCTTTTGCTTTTATCTGTTAGAATATTTATTTATTTAATTTTTTTTATCATACCTTTATTATTTTTAAAAATAACTCAAGGCAACAAACATATATTATACTCCTTCCTCCTATTTTCCCCACAATATCAATCCTGTGAGGTGGAACTGAGAGAGAATCACTGGCTCAAGGTTACTCAGTTGACTTTCATGCGTAAGGCAGGAGTAGAACTTCTGGTTTCTAGCTTGATGCTAGAATATACTTAATTTTCTTAGATAGCTTAAACTATTTGTCTGCTTAAACAGTTGAAAAATAAAAAGGGGGAGGAGGATATTAATTGTTACATAGATTAGGACTATTGTTAGGACAGGGGCAGAGATTGTGTGTCCCTAAAGATGTTGATAACTTATGTCCTAATGTCAGCAGCTATCATGGCTATGATGAAAAATATTTGGAATTGTAATACAGCAACACAGTATCTGCAGATTTCATATACCAGTTTTAAGTTATTTTTTGTGCATAACAAGATTTCTACAAATATATGTGCTGTACTTGCCTTAAGGTAAAAGATTTGTTCATCTGATCCAGAATAGTATGCTCCAGTTGATAGAACCTCTTCCAAGCAGAGGCTTTCACCATCACCTGATGTTTTTCACTTGAGACGTCAAGTATTGAACAAGGGGCCTTCTGTCTGCAAACCTATGTTTTATCAATGAACCATGGTCCATCTCCCAAAATAAACTTTGCAAATCTGTAGTAATTCTTTCTTGCTCATCTTTTATCTTCTTGCAGATATCCCAGTTATCCCTGACTTGGAGGAAGTACAAGAGGAGGACTTCGCCATGCAAGTGGCAGCCCCCCCTAGGTATAGTAACCCCAGAATTAGTTCTACTAGTTATTTGTCCTGCTGAGATAAACTTCTGCCCGACATGACTGATGGTTGCACCACGTGTTATAACAATGGCAAATGAGCTCTTCTGAAGGGAGGAAGTAGCTGCTGTAGCTGCTGAGTAAAGTTAATAATGAAAGACTTCTTTATTAGGATCAGCTCCGTGTTTTACACTTTCTAGTGAAGGATGGAGAGTGCTAATTTCATTTCTGCTCTAACCCCAACCCCAGTGTTCAGGTGAATAGAGTGCTGACCTACCGTGACTTGGACAATGATCTCATGAAGTATGCTGCATTCCAAACCTTGGTGAGTGCTGTCAGTTGGAAACTGAGATTTATTTATATTTCTTCCAGAAAGAAGGGAGTAGCAAGACTTTTTGGTTGATAGTAAAATAGACATTTATTACATTCTAATGTCCCTTTTTATTCTAATGTAATATATGTATATTTTAGCTGTTGTTTTAATAGAGCCCTTGGTCTTGGAAGCCTAAATAAATATCTAGTCAGTTTATTTTCTTATTGTATATGTAACATTTTTGAAGTTCCTTTTAATCATCTTTGAACATTCCATAATCATATAATTCATTTGGCCGAATGTCTTTCAAGGCTTAATTTATTATTAGTTTATATTTGGGAGACAAGACTATAGACACTGAGTTTTGGAAATTAGTGTACCCATCAGAGAGCCCCACCCAAGAAAAAAGGAATTCTCCAGATGTTTGTATGTTGTGATTGCTTTTGAAAGGATTTTCTGGGTGAGATGTTAGTGCGTTTGGTCTGCTTTGCTCCGATGCTGGGTGTATGTGATTTTCAGAGAAGGAATGGGACTGTCTTGCTATTGTGGATAAAATGCATATCTTGCTACTACTTGTTCTTCGAGCAAATATGATTTTAGTTTGTTTTCATAGGATGGAGAGATTGATCTCAAATTGCTCAGTAAAGTCTTAGCACCAGAACAAGAAGTACGAGAGGTGAGTTTGGTTCTGAATATTTTTTGCTAGGCCCGTTCTTAAAATTAGCATCGATTTAAAAATGTTTGTTTCACCCCACTGTTTCAGTTCGTCTCAGTTTCCTTAGGAATTTGCCTTACTAGAATCACAGCATGGATTTGTCACCATGTCTGGACAACCTTTTAATGCTTCTATGGTCTTTGTTGTTGTTGTTGTTGGGGGGTTGGGACTATCATATCAAGCAAGCAGGTAGTACCCGCGTAAGACTGAAGTCCAAACAGAGATGAGATTGATCAACTATGCAAAGAATGATAGAATATTCTCACAACAAATCCCCAACTGTTCCAATTCTCCTTCCCCTAGCATTTTGATGAAGGGGATGCCACATTGTTGGACTTTTTTGTGCAAATGCAATGGAATGAAAGAAGTGAGCCCTTTTCACTGCACCCAGTTCCATGAAGTAGGAATACAACTGTGCCTGAAAGAGCCCCAATTTATTCCCAATTTATTTGGTCTGATTCAACCCAGGTATTCCTCCATTCATATTGCATCACTCTAGTAGTACATTGCTTCCTTGTTCTCAGCTCTCTGATGCCAGTTGAGCTCTGCTAGATAGAAGAGGATGCTTAGTGATGGTTTCAAATGATGTTCAACAGAGTAGCCAGGCATTCAGTAGGACCCCTGATTGGCAAACATGTTCAGAAAACTATCCAATTGTTTTCTGAGTTGGATGCCAATCTAAGACACACCAGGGAGTGATTTTTGTGACATTTGGAAAGCTTATTTTCAGATCACTATCAGTTGAACAGGAGATCAACTTTATTGTGTGTAAGAGTGGGGATGAGGTGATGCAAGATTAATGCCAGGCTTTCAAGGTAGACCAGACTAGGGAACCAAACTCATGCGGAACCAAAGTCATGCAGGCTAATATTACTTTTATTATAAAAATATAATAAACAGAATCTTGCAAGTCTGAATGTTTTCCCTGTTTAAGGAGGGTCTTATCTGAGGTGTTTACTCAGATTACAGTTCTGGCTCTGACTCATATTTCTTTTATTGACCAGTAGTGGCTTTTCCTCCTGTTCTTCATTCCTTCTGCCTATTACAGGGCCTGAAATCCATCAAGACAAGAAATACAGAATATTGCATTGACGCATCAGTAATTATCACAGTTAGCTCAGAAAAACAAATTATTATGCAATTGGGTGACAGTATTGCTCCATTATTATGGCCATCTAAACACCAAAGCAAATATTCAAAATTAGAACACTATTGGTGGGAGCTTCGGGTCAATGAGATGAATTCTCATAGACCATAGGCACCACTTATGCACCTTCTGGCCCTAGCCTACTGCATCACACAGTATCCCAGAGGGTAGAATTGACTTTCCTCTCTACCATTAATACCATTAATAGCACTTAGGGATTGGGTCCTTGCTGTAATATATTTCCTCCCATTTGAACTGTGTCATCTTATTTACAAATATGTTGCCCCTATTGGTACATGTTTTACATTTGTTATTGTTCTTTGACAGGATGATGCCATCTGGGACTGGAACCATCTCTACACAGAGGTTGCCTCTGAACTTCTAAGTGAATGGGACTCTGGGCAATCAGAAAAAGAAGAGACCCTTATGAACAAGAATGCTTGAATTTTGATGGATTGCACAGTTGTACAGACATTCCTTTTTAGTATGATTCTTATTTGAGAAATGATTTTTGTCTACACTATATAATAATAGCTATTTTAGAAATGTATCTAACAGTATTTAAAAGAAGTTTTGTATTGATATTCAAGTTAGGGTTAGGGTTAGGGTATTGATATTCAAGTTAATTGGTTATATTTTTTATTAACTGTGCAATACTTTCAATTCTCTTCAGTAGGTAATGTTTTTCAAAGTACTTACATGCCTATTTTAAGATGTTTTTTTTCTTAGATACATGTATGCCTCATTGCAAAATGTTATGCTTTATCCTCAGAGCTATTATAGATAGACAAGTCCGGAATATTAAATTAATTTATTACCTTTCCTCACTTAAGTGGTGACTCTAACATATATTCAAATTTGTTTAAATGTACATGAATAATAAATGTGTAAAGAAGAGGCTACACAAACAAAAAGCAACCAAGTGCATCATACATCACATGAGCTTTTTGAATTTGGAAGTGAACTGGGTGTACCAGTTTCCTGTTCTAAAATATGCTGGAGGTTGACTGCTTTCCCAAGATCATAATTTGTGAATTTATCTATGCTGATCACCCAAGCTAATAGTACACTTAGCAGTGTAGTGGGCAGTGAAATGGAGCTATCAACAACAACAAAACCCATGTTTGTGCATAAGCAGCATATTGCAGATATAAAAGGCAGGAAAATTAAAAACTTCTTTCATTTTGAATTGGACTAGTCTAACTCCCCTCCAAAACCGGAACAGAATGTTAGGAACTACTGAGCCAAACAGTAGGGAAAGCAGCAGGGATAAACATATCTTTTCAAAGAGATTTGTTTGAATGTGCAAAACTATCCCCTTGTTTCAAGTTGCCAAAGTGGTTAAGGCTTTTTTCCAGGTTTTCTGGTTCCTTTAGAACAGGGCTGGGCAGTTAATTTTGCCAAGAGGCCACATGAGAAACTGTGACTGTCATGGAGGATAGAACCAATACCTGCATAGGCAACCATGCACACACACATGTACATTTGAAAAAAAAAAAGTCACCCTCCAATGTAAAGCAACACCATTGGATTGCATACTTGACATACACTTAATTACATTTGATTTTTAACAGAATAACTGAGTTGGAAGGGACCTCGGAAGTCTTCTACTCTAACCTGCTCAAACAGGAAACCGTACACCAGAGGTCCTCAACCCCTGGGCTGCAGCCTGTTCGGAACCCATGAGCGCACATTTGTGGGAGCGGTGGGTGCTTGCACGCACAGCTCCATTTGCACGAGCGTCAGGTACATGCAATTGCACTCAGAGCTCCCATTTGTGAGAGTGGCAGGCGCTTGCTCTTGAAGCTCCATTTGCACAGCAGCAGGCGCTCATACTCGCAGCTCCATTTGCAGAATTCCACTCAGAAATAATGCAGAATTCCTCTCAGAAATATTCATATATCTCCTTGCATGCATGAAATCTCTGCATAGAAGCATCATCCCCATCAGTGTACAGTCTGGGAATTGGGAACCGGTATGGGGAATTATCACTTAACTGTTGTTAAGGTGCTCTTCAAAAGCTTTGCCATTTTTTTCCAAGTATCTCTTGGCAAACAGTTCAATATTTATTTCTTCAGTCCAAAGCACTTCCAAAATGGGTGTCTTAAATTCTGCACTTGCAATATTAACTATTTTTTAAAATTTTGAATTTATATGTTTTAAAATTTGCAAAAAGTTGTATTTAATTTTGTACCCTATGCAGTTTGTATTTTTTTCTGTTCATGTAGGGATTCAATGAAACATAATTTGACCTATGATGCTTAAATTTAGCAGGCAATAGTACCTGAAAACACAGAAAGAAAATGTGCACAGTATTTCAATTTTTAATTGCAAGCTGTGGGACTTAGAAGGGAAGGATGCTTTCTGTCTTTGATGTTAGGGTCAAATTTGGGCCCGTTCTTTTCTCTAGTTGCGTCCTGTGTTTTTGTCTTGCTGTTGTTTGCTCCAAAACCTGACGGGATCTTGCCTCTGGGCTGGGTTGATGCAGTGGACCCTAAATCTCCTTAGACTACATGGCCTAAATTTCCAGCTACACAGATTTTCCCTTCTGACGCACATCTGTATTTCATTTCAGTCTGAAAACAAAAGATCTCTGATACCTGGGCAATAGAAATTGTATCAGGAAAAGGAGCTATTTCACTCAATTTCTTAGACATTGTTTCAAGGACATAGGCTTGAGCCAAGGAACAAACAGGAAAACAGAAATTCCTAAATAGGATCTTCACAAATGATACGTGTAGCATATTTTTCAGTTGCATTCATCTATTGAATTCAACAATTTCCTTTGACTTGATTTTGTCACTCTGTTAAACTTTCTCACTTTATTTCAATCAGCTGCAACAGAGAAAAGAAGAGCATGATGGAGCAAATATATCTGAGACTCTTAATAAGAGCCTTTGTAATTTGCAGCAGATCAGCAAGGATTTTTCTTAATGTTACTGCAACAATAGTAGCACCAAAGGACTTCCTCTGACAAAATTATACCACTGAAATAAAACTTAGGAGAAAACAGTAATTCCATGCGTAAAAGAACAGTGGTTCTACAGTGTTCAGTTTTGATACTCAGCTTTCTGGGTTTAGAATTATTTTGTTCTAAGTGTATGGATGTTTCCAAATGGAATGAAAAGATACCATGGAGCTATTCTGAAGACGTGACTTCCTTAAGAGAATTGAACTGATAAGTACGAAAGGAGAAGGAATACTGGAGAAACCCAGAATATTCAAGACCTGACACCAAATCAAGCTTCTGCTATGCAGGTACCCCATCCTATCCAGTGCTTGGGTGCAGGGAAGCCGCATTTTCAGTGCAGAAGGCTGGGAGGGTAGAGGCCTGCCAAATTTCAGAGATAAGGAGTGTTCCATAGGGCAGGCGTTACCACAGAAAAGACACACTGCCTAACTACAAGGTGACAATGTTTAAGGGAAGAGACTAGGAGTATACTTATCTTTTGTTTGACAGACAGAGGAACATATTTTTTTTTTTACCATTCTTCCATCCCAAGCCATAAATGCTTAATGTTTTGTTCAGAGTTAAACATCGCTATATAAGTACTGTAGCCCCAAATTCAGCATAGAAAGGTGGAAAAAAATCCTGAAACTCTGAAGCACCACTGTGGGTTGGGATAGACTATTCATGGCCAGCAATCACTCCCCGCCCCAGAAAATGCTCCTATTGAAAACTGACATTTTGGTAGGGGAGATTTGGGAGAGCACAAAAAAAGATTTGAGTACAAGAACCTTGAAGGCTGTCAGTTGCCAACCTGAGTTAGATAAATGGTTTTGATTTGGTGTAAGAAAGCCAGCCTTATTTATTCAAAAAAAAAAAGTATAGTTTTGCCTCCATGTCAATTATAAGCAATTACTTCAGTAAACAATATATAAAATGTGAGTTCAACATTCATAATTTCAATTAAGCAAATTATGCAAATCAGTAGGAACAAAGAGTTGATTTATCCAATTTATCTCTCTTTGTGACTTCTTTTAAGTCCTACTTCTACCTGCATTCATACCTTTTAGAAGGTGGCTAGGACTGATTACTACCTCTTTCAAATAATTTGATGTTCCAGAATGAGCTGTGCATGATTGTTATATAATCAAATGAAAACAATGAAAATAAATAAGTTCTCAGCTGTGTACTGGAATGTATCCAGGTGTCACAGGAGAGAAAGAGTTGCACAACAAACATTGATTTCTAAGGGATTTCTCGAAACTAATTGCATCTGTTGACAACTAGAGAGCACATTTTTTTTGTGTAATTTTTCTGGGTTGCGTTGAAGATTTTTTTGAAACAATTCTCTTTATACACAATTCTATAATATATTGTTCATAATTTTCTGTATTAAAATTGTCCTTTTAAATCTAGATGGCAATACATGGAGAGAATGCAGTGCATGCTACTTAATGCATTACAGCAATCAATCTCTAAGAAATCTGCTAATTAAAGGTAAAAACATCAGGGAGATTTTCTAAACAACTCTCATAATAAAGTCTCTTGCCACCTGCAAGCCCCAGAAAAGGCCACTTTATTAAATGAGACAAAGAGATTAGAGATCAGTGGAGCTACTATGTTAATAACTTGGAAAGACTATGCCAATTTCTCAAGCTGGAGGGTTTCAGGGAAAACAGAATTAATTCATGGCATATGCTCTCAGCATCTGTTGCTGTGGCCTGCAATGGCAGGATCATAGGGCAAAAGAGTAAGAGGCAAACTTTTGCCTTCCTTTATTCTTCTCTGGCTTGGCAAGGAGCCTGTTTCCATTGGCTGGGCAGGAGAGCAGGTGTGATGCCCACTGCATCTAAAATGCCCTGGAGCACAATGTATGAGTTAGGAAAAGAACTGGCTATTGGATTGGTTTTATATACTACACAAATGTTTCTTTAATTATTAGGAAAGTCACAGGATCTTGTACTTGGTAAATATTGTTTCCCCCAACCCAGATTAGGAGGGACTCAGTCTTCTGAATTGGGACATTTTCCCAGAATCCCATAGGAAATTATACTGAGAATTCTGGGAGTTGAATTCCTACACGTGGCTGGGAAAGGTTAAACTATAGAGGTTTGAGGAATAAACAAAGTGCATGAAGTACCAGTCCTGAGTTTGTTATTGGGTATCCCTTCAGAATACCAAGAAGGAAAATATAAATGAATTCTTCACCAACTCTGATCTTCACACAACAGCCTTGAAACTAAGAGTTGGTGAGTGATTTGAGGTTTTCAACTCTTAAATATTTTTGCTCATAATTACATTGTGCAGGAAATTTGCCAAAGAGCCAAGGTATGTTGCCACTTATAGACTGTGGAATTTGGTTCTGTCATCCTACTTGATTAATTAGCTGCAAATATATGGGCTTGCAGTTTCTGCTTGCAGCTTTGTCTGCATTAATATAATCTATGGAGTTGTGTGGCATCAAGGAATTGTCTACCATACATTAAAACATTACAAACTATCCCCAAAGTTTGTAAGAGAGAACTCTGAAGCTCAATTGTTTGGGGACTGCAAATAGCATCTGTGAGTTGGCACTGCTCCTATGCCTTTAATAGCAGCCCCAATAGAAAGAATGTTGGCAAAAATGTTGCTATTATTTCAGAAGCAAGGCTTATTTTGATAACAATGACAAATCGAATCAACCAACACAATTCCTTCTCTCCTTTCAAATCTCCATTTACCTTCCCCCTTTTTGCCCCAAGTTCTCCCTATCAGGCTTTTGAATGACCTTTATCAAGGCCCATCTCCTGTCATTTTCAAGACCACTTAATTATCCCTTTATTATTCTGCTTATCATTATTAATTATCACTCTTGATTGGTTAGAGTGCTGACAGCTGCCTCTTGTCAATCCTTTCCCTCTTGTTTTAATCCTGCTCCTTATCTGAAATGAATCTGATCCTTTTTCTTTTAATTAAAAGAAATCTAGTCTGCCCTGCCCTCTTTCTTGTGTGAAGGAAAAGCTGATGGCTTCTCCTGATAGATAGGAAATGATCGGCAGGCTGTAGGTAGGTTAGATAATCTTCCGCAGCCTGACAGTAGAGGTCATCTTGATAGTTGCCATTTGAACCAGGCATTTTGGAGAGGGGCCAAAAAAGTCAAGATGGCAACTTCAGTAATGTGGTTGTTGTTGACTAGGATCAGACTGTATGACTTGTATCCTTACGTTTTTTACTGACTGTTTCCTAGTATGATTTGATTGCTTACTACACTCTATGACTATCATTAAGTGTTGTACCTTATGATTCTCAACTCCTGATGAATATGTCTTTCTTTTATGTATACTGAGAGTATTTACACCAAGACAAATTCCTTGTGTGTCCAATCACACTTGGCCAATAAAGTATTCTATTCTATTCTATTCTATTCTATTCTATTCTATTCTATTCTATTCTATTCTATTCTATTCTATTCTATACCTCATGTGTGGGTAGCCATATTCATGGGAAAATCCTTCGTGCAATCATTGCTACCTACATGTTATTAGGGTCTTCCATCAATGCCATTTACAGCTTGCACACAAATAAGGGGAGCTTTTCTAATATGTAATTACTGTGCATTTTTTCTAGTAGCCATAGTCTCACTCTTTCATCACACACACACCATATATATGTATATATGTGTATGTGTGTGTATATATATATATATATATGTGTGTGTGTGTGTGTATGTATGTATGTATGTATGTGTGTGTGTGTGTGTATGTGTGTGTGTGTGTGTGTATATATATATATATGGTGTAAATTAAAATACATGAACAGAATAAAATGCAAAAAAGCATTTATTAAATGAGTTTCAAAAGTACAATTGAATTATTTATTTTTATTGGTATAATAACAGAGGGGGGAAATCTGCAGGATACAAATATAAACATACTGTGGGTCAAAGTCAAAATGAATAGGAAAAGAAAAAAGAAAACTACACCCACAAACAGATACAGGTACATACCTATATATTATTATAGATATGCAATGGCTACTCAATAAGAGGCTACACAAAATCGTATTGACGATTCTTTTTATTGTGTTGATAAAGAGCCAATTCAAAGGCCAAGAGAGAA